ATATTTTAGATTTTGATTAATTCTGTTATTAATTTTAACAAATTATCTAGTAAATGAATATTAAATTTGTTTTTTATTTTTAGATAATTTATATAGTTTATTCATTAAGGGTATAATCAATTATATATAAAACTAAGATATATAAGCATTATCATGTTGTTATAATATTATATTCAGATAATAACAACATATATAAGAATTATCTTATTTTTGATTTTTTATAAACTTATTATGCTAATTATTCCTTATTATCTAAGATAATAACATACTTATCTAATTTTAATTTTTAAATTTCGTGTTGAATCATAAAATTAGTTATATATAAAAATTTCATTAAGGGTAAAATAGATATTAACCGCTTTAACTTTTAACGTGAGAGCTCCGTCGCGAAAAATCACTTCGCAAATAATAGTATAGATATGGAAAAGTTAAGCCCGCCCTCTTCTAATTGTCATTGTCTTTAAAGTAAACCAATATCTCTTCTTTTCCAATCAAGATTCTCTATGTATAAGTGAAACATATAAACTAAAAAAAAAAAAATCAAATGCAAGTTGGAGCGTGACCCTGAAACATTTTTCGTCATTATAAATTATGAGATCTCTTCACAATTAAGAAAGAAAACTAATGGAGACATGGAGAAAAATGAAGTCTTTTGGGCAGAAGAGCTTTTCAAGCACGGCTTCGATCAGCAAGAGCAAGTCTTGGAATGGTTCTGCTCATCTTGAGAATGCTATGAACAACGATTCAACAGGAAAAGTAAAGAAAAAGTCGCCGCCGCCACACGGGTGTTTCACAGTTTACGTGGGTCCCACGAAACAGAGGATCGTGGTGAAAACGAAAATGTTGAACCATCCTTTGTTCAACAACTTGTTAGAAGAAGCAGAGACTGAATATGGATATAGATGTGATGGGCCCATTGTTCTTCCTTGCGAGGTTGACTTCTTCTTCAAGGTTATGGCTGATATGGAGTCTAATGGTGATGAGTATGATGAAGATGATGATGATGATGATGATGATGATGGTATGGCTAATCCTCCGATTTGCGGGTTGGGTAGTCCCTATAGATGTGCTGGTCTCGATTCCACGGGCGTGAGACGGAGCGGCTCGTACAAGCTTCTTCGATCTCCATCTTTGTTCAAATTAAATAGATTTTGAGTTTTCTTTTTCTTCTTCCCTTTTCCACAATACAAGATATCTAAGTTCTTGTGAGTAAAAATGTGAGGAAAAAACAGGAACCCTTACATTTCCGAATCGCAACAATTTTCTTAAATTATATCCCCATTTGTGTTTTCTAAGATTTTTGTAACGACCCGAGTGTATTAAACCAATAGTTTGATTTAATTTAATTCTCTTGGACCAAACAAATTTTAAACATGTATGTAGCTCCCTCCCCATAAAAACCTAGCCACCATTGATCCACGCCTCCATTCTCTGTTGCAGCTTTTTCTCCATCACCACTACTGCTCTCGTGAACTAGTGGCCGCCAGAAGAGTCGTGCCATTACGTCGTCACGCCAAAGCTGTCAAAAATTACCACCCTTCTCTTCGCTTTTAGGTACTATTCCGATTCTATCTCTCAGCCTGGTGATCGTATAGAAAATTTGAGACTACCACTGCGTTCCTCCCGTCTAAAACGCCCATAGTCGCAGACAACATCTGAAACAGAAATCCGACGCATCCGAATCACCGTTAGAAGCATTGCTAAAACCTTGGTAAGTCGTGATCGATGATTCGGCCGGTCCACTCAGTGCCTCAATAAGTCAACTCGATCAACCGGTTTACTTGTTGATTTATTGATTCTGGTTTCAAATGAACCGCTTGGTTTAATTAAATTGATTTTGGTTTACAATAATTGGGATTGATTAATTGAAAATTTTAAAGGTTTAATATCAACGGTTGGGTCAATTCAATTTCAATATTTTTAGTTAATCCGTATCAGCTTGGATTCTGGCTGAGTTCAACATTTGTGGAATCGAAATTCATATTGTCAAAATTTGTAACTAAGAAAACAAAATGTTTATGAAGATTTTTTTTGGCAATTCTCTCAAATAGATATTTTAAGTTTTTTTATCATAAAATAGACTTCAAAAACTTAATGACTAAAATAGTATTTTTTGTTTAAAAAATTTTAAGTTTTTTAAAAAAATTTAAAATTATATCCTCAAAACCTCACTCCACAACTCTAAACAAAAATGTCTAGGATTAGTTAAGGTAAAGAATATAAGTATAAATTTACTTATATTTGATAAAACATTTAAATCTAATTTGGTCATTTTTATTTTAAGATCGATATTTGTGACAAAAACTTTTTAGTCATTTTTATTTTAAGATCGATATTTGTGACAAAAACTTTTTAAAGTATATTCTAGAAAAAAAAAATTTCCAGAACCAACAACAAATAATAAAAAAAATGCATAAATAAAATAAGATTATGCAAAAAACAAACTTAGAAACAAGAGATTTTATTGTAAATTCGCGTATGAGCGTTTCATACATGACATCCAACTGGAAGAAAGATTGCAATGGGAATCAAATAGCACATACAGTGAAACCTATCTAAATTTGCTAATGTAGCCACTTATGTCAAGAAAACCTAGGTGAGTTGCAACTCGTTTAACAAAAAACAAAAAATAAAGCCTAAATTTTTGAAATGCGGAGTGTTTCGGTAGCTAAGTTTCTTTTTCTTTTTCTAATCTCTCAGCCTTATTTATATACTCTTCCAGGGTTGGATGTGTTACCATTTTCTCGTAAATTTATATCTTTCACTTTCTTCAATATTTATTTATTTGTCGAGATTTGAGCTTATCCCTTTTAGAAATCTTCGGTTATCATGTTTTCTTCTTTATTATTCTTTTGCCCGCTTCAGGATTAGTTCTTGCTATCTCTGGACAAAAAAGGAAAACTTCTAACAAGCTTTTATTTAAATCTCTCCTATGATTTGTTTTTTTTTTATCTCTCTTGCTTCATGTTTCCATAATATCATGAAAAACCTTGCATTATTGTACCACTATAGTTTAGCTCTAGAAAGAAGAGTATAACTAAGACTATGTGATAATGACCAAAGGAAGCATGATCAATCCATGGCTACTGCAACTTACACAAGCTAATTTTGAAGCCCTAAAAAGGTAAGTCATTGAGATGAATTCTGCCAGGGAAACAACACCACCCCTACAAGGAACCCATAATCATCTAAAAAGTCTAAACCTTGAAGCAAAGAGTGGAAGGCTATCTAAAACGTGTGGAACATAGGGTGCACATGTTATCGTAATATGAAGCAGAAAACCTAGTCCTTCGGGAAGAAAATTCAGCCCTTAACACAGAGACATGTAGGTTCTGAACCAGTATTGACTTATGAAAACCCTAGATATTCAAACCAGAATAGAAAAATGAACGCGCAAAATATTGTAGGCAACAAAGAGGCGATTGTAGGGACTACAGTCGTAAACACATATCGTGCCAACTTACCAAGGGATGACGATGACACAAATACATACATGGACACTGGGATGCAAGAGGCAGCACTAGACCAAAAAATCGTAGAAATTTCCTATTTGGAAAAATTCTACTCAAAGAAGTTTGACGCAATAGGGTTCATTGTTCGAATGAATCCCTCGTTGTCTATCAATTCTTTGTGATAAACTTAGAATCACCAAGTATCTTGAGATATTTTTGATAGATTTAGATAAGAATTATTAGGTAACTTTGAAAATTTCAGATTCTCGAATTGAAAAAATAAAATATCTGTAAACAATATGTATATTCTATCTTAGAGAGAACATTAAATAATGAGTTAGATATCTATTTTTAGTATGGATATTGTGAAAGAATAGTTGTAACACACAACAAAGAGAAAGTAGATCATAAAGTTCAAGTTACAAAACTTATTCACAAGAAAGATATACCAACAGTTGAGATTAGGATATAGATCAACTATTGGTTATGTGGTATGTTTAGGATAATTAAATATTGAATATTTCTTGTTATGACATTTTTTCGAAAATAAATAAAAACTAGGTGTTTTGCCCGCATATGCGGATATATTTTTTTATGAATACTTATAAGTTGATGTTGTATTAATTTAAAACAACATAATAAATTATGATTTATGTTTCTAAATTAATTATAAATGACAACCTTTATATAGCAGAATATTTTTAAAAAACTATTTATGCAATTTTTTGCTTGATTTCTATTAATTATTATTTTTTATATCTTCATATTTTATTTCTATTATAAAAAATATATTTTCAAGATAACAATATAATACATAAGAAGTATATGATTCTCTTTATAAACAGTATTATTAATAAAAATTCGTTCTTATTTTATAATAAATTATATATAAAATTATTAAAAATATGAAAAATAAGAAAAATTACCTAAATAATGGAGAAGTTAGAAATCAGCAAATTCACTTACATTTTATAATAGAAATATATTTTCAAGATAACAATCTATACATAAGAACTATCTTATTTTCTAAAAATATAATATTATTAATATAAATTCATTTTACCATATAAAATATTATATATTAAATCATTAAAGATGATAAATAAACAAAATTATCTAAAATCATGGAGAAATTGACAAATCAGTATTTCTTAATTTATATTTAATAATAATATTTGTCTTAATTTTTATTTTCTATAATAGTTAAATTTATTTTTAATATCACAATATAATATGTAAGAATTATCTTATTTTCTAAAAATATAATATTATTAATATAAATTCATATTATCATATAGTAAAGGGTAATTCTCTCAAATAGCCCTCTTTTAAGTTTCTATCACAAAAATAGACCTCAAAAATTAAAATGACCAAAATAGCACTTTTTATTTTGAAAATTTTAAGTTTTTTTAAATTTTTTTAAATTCGAAACCCTATCTCCAAAACCCCACTCCTCAACTCTAAACAAAAAAAGTCTAGGATTAGTTAACCCAAAGGGTATAAATATATATTTAAAAAACATTTAAGTGCTATTTTTGTCATTTTAATTGTTAAGGTCTATATTTGTGATAAAAACTTTGTAAGGTCTATTTTAGTCATTTTCTCTATAGTAAATTATATATGAATTAAAAAAATAAAAATAAGGAAAATTATCTAAATCAGTGAGAAGTTACAAATCAATAAGCAAGTTCATTTAAACTTATAATAGAAAAATATATTTTCAAGATAACAATTGAAGACATAAGAATTAACCTATTTTATAAAAATATAATATTATTAATATAAATTCATTTTATTATATAATAAATTATATATGAAATTATTAAAACATGACAATTAAGCAAAATTACTTCAAATTATGGACAAAATAATAATTAAGCAAATTTACTCTGGGAAGTTACAAATTAATCATCAAATTCACTTAAATTTTATAAGGGGATTTGCCAAATATGACTCAAAATTTGATTTTAAATGCAAAAGTGTACTGCAACTCAAATCAATCCAAATTAACTAAAAAAGCTAGTGAAATTACAAACATCCTCTCATGACCAAACAAAAAATATGATTTTATTTTACCATTATAACCTTGCGAGTGAGAACACTTTCAGGTAAATCTTCTCATAAGTCATGAAAATTTTACCTTACCTGGAGTCTTCTCATGTTGTAGATCTTAAAAATAATTTATGAATTTCATAAAAATATTTTGATATTGGAAAAATCATAATCATCTAACTATAGACATTTGTAAATGATATAAATTTAGATTTAATAAAATTGAATTATTTTCAACATAGATAAGTGAATGTAAGTTAGTCATGATATTCTTTGGTTTAGGGTTTGGTAACTATGTTGTAGTATTGTATGTGTGTTTTAGGGTTAGATTGTGGAATCTTAACATTTTTTAAAAGTAAACTTTAGCTATGTGTTTAGTTTGTGTAGATATAACACTTTATAAGTTTAATTTAGGTTTCATAAATTTTTTGTCTGTGATTTAGTTATATATTTGATTTTTCGTGTTTTGGAGGACTTAAATTTTTGAAAATATAACCCACTAGAAGATTTATTGGATGACTTAACAGCATTTTCCCGCTAAAAAGGTTAAAAGAATTTAGGTTTCTCGCCTAAAATTAAGTTTTCCAATAAGTCTTCCTTAAGTCTTCTAGTGAAAGTCTTCTAGTGTATATTTCTTAAAATAATTTATAA